TCCTATAGGAATCCATTTTGGGTTTCCTCATGTCGGTTTCATCCTTCTAAGTGTTAGAAGCCGATGCCGCACACGCGAAACTCCACAAGAGGACGGAAATAGGTCGAACTAAAACGAGGCGGGCACTACTTCTAAGGTTCTAAGATAGTCGCAGGAAGACCCCTAAGGCTAGATCCTAACTCCTACGAGGAATACTAGACCTCACGAAAAATTGAGGTCAACACAGGTGTGAGCGACAAAGATGCAAATAACCCCTCATGAATAGATTATCGCCTTTAGAGCACTTAGGTTCCTCTAATCAGCCATTCCAGTTTTAGTCAAAATTGGTCCAGCGCTCAATAAGTCACACATGGCTACAGAATAATATGCCTTTCTCAAGTAGAAGAGATTCACATTCACATTGCAAAGTAGCATAAAGGCACCATGGATGTCAAAGTAATGTTTGCGAATAACAAAATTGAAGAGCATGCCGAACAATAAAATCACTAAGTTCGAAACATTTACTCCAATCAAATATGAATGGAGTAAAGAAAACAACAGAACAAATATGATTTTTCAAAGTCCATGTTATAACCTGAAAAGCCAAACAATCCTACATAATTTAATCTGCTTAGAAAAGAAAGTAGAAATACTGAATGGGCAGACACTTAATGACCATGGGATTACTTATTTAGAATGTTTAATACAAATATGGACACCATATAATTAGAGACTTGCATTGATCAAAGCTTAATCCACCCCTTATTAAGAATTTCTAACAGGAGCCACAATAAAGACCAATCCACTTTCTAAAAGATTAGCTTGGTCATGAATCTTGAAGATTCGAATTGAATTGAAACTACCTCATTTTCCTTTTTTTGTCTTCTTTTTTTGTCATGACCATCCACCCCCTCAATAATTCAGTATTTTTCTCTTTTTTTTTTTTTTGAGCGCTCTTCATATTAACAGCATAATGTCTCTCTTGAAGAACAACGTAAAATATTAAAGTTTATTTGCTTGTGTAAATTAAGGAGAAAGCTTGGTGGATGGATCCATATGGTTGTGACTTTGCTTATCATTTTACTTGGGTGTTTTTTGCTACCTTTCCCTCCCCTCTCGGCTACATCCAACCTTAGATCTAGCCACCCCAAGCTCTCTACCAATACTATCTAAATATAATCCAAATTATCTCAACAACTTAACAAAAAAAAGAAAAAAAAGACACATTTAATGTCCGTTTAGACTCCCTTCTAAAGCATTTTCATTTAGAAAGTAAATTGAGCATTTACCACATTTTAGAGCACAAAATCATTAATCTTCCAAGATTGGTAGTTACAAGAAGGCATTAAAAGTACATAGTTAAGTTAAATGTGGGATAAATTCTTAGGTTTATTAAAAAAATATTATTGTGGAAGTTTTAGGAAAGTCTAGAAATACATTTTGGAATCTTTTAGAACTCAATTTGATAAATAGAGTTTCTATTTCTATCGTTGAATTGAATGCATAATTGCCGTCTTTATTGGATAATAGTCATATATTTCCAGAATAGGGGATTTTGTTTATTAGTTATTAAAGGTCTCAAAATATACAAACAAACCATTATGCCTAGATATGATAGTTTGAAGGGAAATTTACAAACATGAAACAAATGTTTATGTATTTACATATTTACACTTATAACATCTTAGTATCATAAACCTATGCATGAAAATTTGTTTTTTATTTTTAAAGATAGTAATGGTAATATTTTTGATGTGATTAAAGACAATGTGGCATGCATGTAGATCTAAATGTTTGGGTGTTATATTTGTAGATAATAAAAATTGTGGTATGTGAATGCCTCTAATTTGAATTAATACCTACCAAATGGAAATTAAGCTATCAACTGGACCCTTTAATGATCAGGCAGCATACTCTTCTATTATTCTCACCAATTTGTCATTCCCATGGCATTAACAAAGTACAACCTTTTTAATATTTCTATTAATGTTTTAGTCCACTAAGGTTTAGCTTATTTTAAGCGAAAATTAACAAATTCTGGAGTTTTTTTATACTTTTTGGCTGCAGACTAGAGATTCACTGGAAACCCTAGTTTCGGGGTTTAGTTGACAATTTCAAATCCTCAGATTTTAATTTCAAAGTTGATATATTTGGTATTTTAATAGTCAATTCCACTTTATTCTTTCTTCTTAGTGCAGCCGGTTTGGTTTATCCCCATCAATCATTGTAGTCTTTTCATTATTGTTGAACCGAAGTACAGATTTTGTACCTAAAAATATTTCATTTGTTAATTGGCTGTTATGGTTAGCATTCTATAATGTACGTATTATTACTTAGATGTCTAGGCATGTATATTGGTCACAAGTAGAAGCCACATGCTTAGAGTTAATGTGAATTTGTTAGAGAAGGGTTATATAACGTTATTTAAAGTCAATTAAAAGTATCTTAAAAAAACAGGATCATAAATATTACAGATATAGCTAGGATAGATGACAAATATGGTGATGATGTTTAGATAGATGTGGAAGAGTTATAAAGGCTGTAATACACATTTCTTTTCACTTCCTGTTCAGTGAACTCGAATATTGCTTGCATTGTAGCTCCTTCTATTATCCAATGTGATGCTTTTGCCATGAAATTTACTTTTCATGTATTTCACTGGTTTTAAGCTAGTTTGTTGAACAAATATGTCTGTGTCAATAAAATTGCATGCCATGGCTATAGGCAAATGGAAAAGCAACTTGGTGAAAGTGCCAACATTGTTTGGAAGAGAAGAAAACTTCCTTGCTCACACTTGGCTGTCTGGAAGCTCAAAGGTTTCATACAAAGGAAGACATTTTTGACATGCCATTGCTTTCTAGTAAGCTTGAAATTTTCTATCTTGTCTCTAGAAAGCTATTTTCTAGGTGTAATGCTTCTGATAACATGTAGGTTTTTTGTTGTTGTTGTTGTTGTTGTTGTTGTTGAAATATTCAGTCACCTTTTCTTTTCTTTTTAGGAATGAACACCAGTCTTGTTGAAGCTCTTGAGAGAACCTATCCTCGTTCACTTGAAGCCACTGCGCCTGAAAAAGAGATGGGAACCATTGTGGTGGATGCATTTAGGAAAAATATTCATAGGCGTGGATCTAAAAAAATGTGATCTTCCATTTCATGAAGAAAGAGTAATTATGCAAATTTATAATTGATTGTTAATGCAGATAAAGGTTTGTGCTAAGTTTTATATTACATTAGCTAAAAAAATATTTATTTTGTAGAAATACCAAGCGGTTGAATCTTGTTCATCTCAATATTTTGCATGAAAAATGATCTTACCATTAAAGTTGATGGCTTTGTTGATATTGAGTGGTTCGTATGATTTGTGGCTCAAATGGGGTTGTAGCTAGATTGAACAACGTTCAACTGTGGTTTACTCCCTTAATGATTCCATTGGGTGGAGTGAACACTTGATTCATAGGGATAAAATTTTTCATATGAGAGGGAATGATTGTTGCTTATGTAATCTCTTGCATATGGGGAGCATTGTTTAGGCATTTGGAACATTAAGTTTAGTCTTATTTTGCATGGTTTAAAAATATGATATAAAAATATCCATTGGTTCTATCTCATAGTTTACCTTGTATTTTGTTAAAACTTCAATGCGGCAGGCACTCAACGCCATTTTGTGATATTTAGGATTCCTGTTGAAATTTCATCCGATGAGAACATCGAAAATCACAACCACCATGCAATATCTGCTTCCAACATTGTCTTTGGGGATGGACATGAAAGCCGTACCTTCAGCACGAGAAGCAGCGACAAACATCCCGACGTGGAAAAGCTAGAGATGCTCTTGGAAGCTTATTTTGTACAGATCGATAGCACTTTGAACAAGCTGTCCACAGTAAGTGCATTTGGACCTATTCCTGCACACACACACGCTGAAAGCAAAAGAAATCCTACATAAACAAATCAACATAATGGTTAATTTCTATTAGGTAGACAGAAATAGAATAATCCATTGCAATTTATTTATCTTCTAACTTTGTAGCTGAGGGAATATGTGGACGATACGGAGGACTACATAAACATAATGCTTGATGATAAGCATAACCATCTATTGCAGATGGGAGTGGTTCCGTTGATTGCCACATTGATCGTAAGCGCCTTTGTCGTTATGGTTGCTATTTTTGGCATGAAAATCAAGGTCGATCTGTTTGGCGAGAACCAGGCTGGCACGACAGAGTTCGTGTGAACTGTCCGCGGCGGCGCTGCTGGGAGCTTGCTGCTATACGTGGTTGCAGTTTCATGGTGCAAGCAAAAGGGGCTCCTTGACTGAGACATGCTTCTGTGTTTCGACTGTCACTATGTTTGTAAATTTGCTGTAAGATTTATGTTTGCCTCTATTTAAAGTTGTATTTTTTGGCTTAAAATGTGGAGTAGATTATAGTGGCTTATAACATATAGATTCATGTGGTGCTTACCAATAATTTTATTATAACAATATTCAATGTTATTTTTCAAAATATTTTGGTACTTACTAATAATTTTGTTTGGTTGAAAACAAATCTGGCAATAAATTTTGTGAAATTAATTATTATTTATATTTCTTTAAAAACTAAAATAAAGTCTAAGAATAAAAAAAAAATACCGTTCCTATTTTCTGCCGAATTTCAAGTCAGGTGGTTTCTGTTACTTCCTCGAGCGGTTATAACTGAATTTCTGTCTTTCTATTTATATTAAGTTCTGGAAGTAATGAACGCAGTGTATGGCATCAATGGATCAGCAAAGCTTCTTCAGCGGCGTGGAGCATTCCGAAGTCGACGAAGCCCTCTTCGGCTTCCACGACGACTCCTATTTTCTTCCCTTCGACACCATCTTCCAAAACGACACGGACTCATTGATGTTCTCTGCATCGCCTGCAAATGGCGATCAGCAAAGCTTCGTCTGCGGCGTGGAGGATTCCGAAGTCGACGAAGCCATCTTCGGCTTCCACGACGACTCCCATCTTCTTCCCTTGGACGCCATCTTCCAAAACGACATGGACTCATTGATGATCTCTGCATCGCCTGCAAATGGCGAAGGATTCAATAATTTCTTCCTTCCCTCCCACGATCGCATTCACGAGCAACCTCCCCCGCTTTTTGAGCAAAGTTCGTTTTAGGCCTCTGTGGACCCCGCAAGGGCGGGGGCCGCCGCAGCTGGTGGCCGAGGGGGTTGCTGTATGTCTGCGCAGAGTGTGGCGGCTAGGCAGCGGCGAAAGCGGATCAGTGAGAAGACGCAGGAGCTCGGCCGTCTTATTCCCGGCGGAATGAGAATGAATACTGCTCCAATGTTGCAGGCGGCCTTCAAATACCTCAAATTTCTTCGAGCCCAATTTGCCATTCTTGGTCTCATGGATTCCTTTCCGGTGAGGTTTTTTTTTTTTTGATGCTCACATTTATGATTACTGCTGTGAAATGTTATTTATTACTAATTGAGGCTGATAGCCAGGAATGCAAAAGTGCAAATGAGGGGGATTTGCCGGCAATTCAACAGAGGTTGGCTGCGGAGGGGATGTGTGTGGTGCCAATGGAAATGGTGGATGGATTAGGATTGAATTTAATTATGAACCGTTTATTTCAAGTTCCATGGATCCATTTACTTTTGAACCGTTGATTTCAAGTCCTATGGATCCGTTTATTTAGTTGCCGTTAAAGTAGGACAGCAAGTGATTTCCACATATTTAGCCTTTGCATTAATTAAATTGTTTGTAGTGTAAATAGTTATGTTTATTATCAGCATTTGTAAATATGATAGTTCATAAAAAATTAATCACCTGACTGGTTAATTTGTAAATAGAAATAATTCAGTGGTCTTTGAGTAATTTTCCTTAATCATTATGGTTGTGATTTCAAATATGTATTTTTTTTTTCTTTTTTTTTAATTATTTGAGAGAAAAATGGAGTGGTTAATATTGTTTATGCTTATTTCTTATATCTTTTAAAAACTAGTATTAGGTAAGAATCAATAAGAAAGTAAAAAATTAATACAGGGAATTTAAATAGATTAATTCCATATTTTTTTTAAAAAAATAGAATGTTGTATATGAAATCATTTATTAGTAACTCTCATTTTACTCTTTAAATTCAGTATTTATGAATTATTATACTTTAAGGAAAGAAATAAATAATAAATAAAAATAATATTTTAAGGTCAGAAAATTTGAGAGCTGTAGCGTAGATTTATTGAGCAATAGTTATAAGCTATGCTTACAATAAAGAAAGAACAAGGGAATAGAAGTGATATATAAGCCTAAGTATATTCTCAAAGTTAGCCAGTAGTTAGTAATTGGACATAAAAGAGTCATTGGGTTGGTCCGTATTGTTGCAACGCCAAGTAATGAATTTGGATGAGTCTAGAGATGGCGATGGGCGATTCTCTTATGAACCTAAGTGGATGTCACCTTCGTCATTCGATTTTCGAGTCCGTCTAGGGCCTAACTAGCTAGTCCACTTAGGATCCGCATTGGACAAAGCTGGGGGTCGACTTTGAGCATGACTTTCTAAGCTCCATTCTTGAATCAATGTAGCAAGTTTGACTTGAGCACAATCTAAGAGATCGTCTCCTTGCCTTTCAAGTCAATGAATCTGTCCATGGTTTATGCAAAATAAGAAAAATAAAATACTGAAGTGATATATAGTGTTTCTTGACACCTCTTCCAACTTTGCTATTTAAAATTTAAACTCTAATTTTGATTGTAGTAGTATTGACGTTAGCATGCAAGTTGCCAAATTTCTTATTTTTCATGACTAATCAAATGTTATAGACAATGCAATCGATAGAAATGCGAAAAATTCTTAAAATCTTAAAATAACATGAATTGTTATGTAAGTTAGTTGTGAAATCAAGAAACTAATAAATAGAAGCATATGATGAAAGATTCAAGTCCATAATAAGCAACTCTTAAAAAGGAGAATTGGAGTATGTGATCCATTAGGCAACACACATACGTTTCACGTAAGTGCACTTATCAATCAAGTAGTATATGAATTTCATTGCATAAGAATATGAAGAAAGCGACTAAAAATTCTATCAATTAAATGAAAATTGTCATCACTTATTGATTTTAGTGACGACTTTCGATGGAGTGACCACCACCGCTATTTTTTTTTGTCGGAAAAACAATTTGGTGGTCAAATGTCTGTCAAAACTTTTTTACGATGAACTTTTAATGAGTAAAAAATTTGCAATGATTTATCCAAGGTACATGAGTATCAGCTCAGCACCCATCGGTTCATAATATATTAAGAAACTAACTTGCATGCTCATCAGTATTATCATAACCAGCTAACATGTCGATCGAAAGACTGTGAGAAAATACTCAAAAAAAAAAAAAAAACCTCCTAAATTGATTCAAATTTGTACACGTGCAATCACAATACAACAATAAATAAAATATCCATCATAAAATCTAATATAAGTGAACACATGATTTTCAACTAAGCTAGAATCATATAAAAACAAATATAAATTAAAAAAAATTCAATAAAAAAATATTAAGAAATAGTAAAGGAAATATCATGTGCACGTGTATGAGAAAAAGAAAGGTATACAACCCTCCAAGAGAGATTACCCTACTAGTATAAAAACCTATCCACACAATTACTCATTACCAGTTTCCTCATTCTCATCCTATTCTTCCTCCTCCTTGACCGCCTCCATCGATTGCTTCCCTTGTCGACATATGTCTTGTCGCATCTCCTTCAAGCTTCTCCTCATTCTTGCCTTCTTCTGAGCGAGAGCAAATCAATCAATTATATCTTCGGTGATTGATGCGACTTGCCTACAAACTTCAATAATACTTATCCGCTTAATTTAATGCTCAAATTAACTTTTATCATCCTATTTTTGTACTCTATATATGGGAGTGTTTTTCTAGTGTTTAGGGTGGAGCCCATGCCCCCACACTTTGAAGGTCAATTTTACTTCGCCTATTGACTTGTCTTCATACAGCCACAAGAGTCCCAAACTCTATGCAATTGGATCTAGTTGTCCTCCCAAGCCATAGAGGTTGCTGACCAATTGTGTATGTCAGCAAACATATTGCGCAAACGGATAGACCCTCTAACATGAGAGCCTTTCTATTTCCCACAATCTTGATTGCGAAACTGAAGTGTAGAGGGGTCTCACGACCCTGCTACAGTGTTGATCTATGTCTATCCCTGTCAAACTCTTATAAATTCATTTCCCTGCTGTATTTGTCAAGCTCAAGGTGTTAGATTTGTAAATAAATAAAATTGTATAGTATATATGAAAAATTTCAATCTACGTGCCCCTTTTTAGAAAAATTCTTTCACAAAGGTGGCATGGTAACCATTTTTTTGAGTTGGTATGTCAACTCCTCCGAATACCATAAAACAGATTGCATTATGATAGGGTTATTTTGCTCTATTTCATCCGTTTCTAATCAGTGAATCTGTGAGAACAAATCTTTCGTAGAAAAAAGTGATATTTTTTTCTGGCAATGGCAATGGCGGGCGAAAGAGTATCTAGATTATTGGAGGAAGTTTTTGAGCAGTGCAAAATCTGATCTTTTTGAGCAATGCATTTAGTGACATTGAAAAGGGTCGAGATGGTGATAACATGAACACCTAGTTCCACAATTTACTTTAAATGAAATTGATTTTGGTTCAGAACTTCTCAAAGAAAATAACTTTGAAACTCTTTCAAAGTCTGCCAATGAAATTTTCTCTCCAGTTGAACCCATAAGGCTCAATCTTAAAACCCCTCCATTCATTTGAGAGAACGTCATTTGGATGACACAAAAGTCCCAGAAGCTTCTGATTTGTTAGATTCTACCGATGAAGTAAGATTAAAATTCAAGGGCATTTAAATGGTACACAATTCTCATTTATTTTACATATCTCACACCCAAACTTTCATATTTTTCACATATAGCACTCAAATCATTAAAAACATATAAAAAATAGCGCAATTACCACTTTTTAACAATTACCACTTTTTAATAGTTAAAGTTAAATACACTTTCTTATGCATAAGTTTAAACACTTATGCATATGCAACATAAAAGTTAGGTGCGAGATATGTAGATACATCAAAATTTATCCTCCATTTAAAGCCACAGGTTTAATTATCCATTTTATTTAATACTAAAATAAAATATTTCCAATTAACTAATTTGAGTGACCACTTGTAGGACCTAAACTTTTTGAATGCAAATGATGCATCACCTAAACATCTCTATCATTTATTTATCTTCTTTTGTTCTTCTGGTACGGAGAAAAAGGATGAAGTTTTACGTTCCACTGTTTAAAAATCTCACCTTGGTTTTTAATTGCAGGTCTTCACGATGCATTTGATGTTGAAAACTTGTCTTCTCGAACAAGGTAAAAGGTGTTGTTTCGTCAGTTGGAACTAAAACGCTCATATTGGATCATAAGGGATTTCTTCCTTTTGTAGGGCTGTGCCAAAATATTTTGAAGATAACTCTCTTGAATCCAAGTCACATGAATCAAAACGTATAAGCTTGAATGGGATTCTACAGCAGAAGACTCGGAGGCAATGCTCAAGACTGCTATTTGCAATTCGAGTAATTAATTTTACTTTATTTTTTAAATAAAATTGCAACTGATATAACTTAAAGAAAAACAAAGAAGTAATTGAAACAATACTTAAATAATATAGAGAAACAACTGTTCAATCTAAAAAGAGAAAATATAATAACTCACGTGAAAACTAAAAATACCCTAAAGTAAAGTCTAAGGTTGAATAGTCTGCTCCGGTGGAAAAGATTCACGGAGTAACTGGGTGAAACCTGACATGTAAAATATCAACAAGTTGTTCGACAAATTAAACTCAGTAAATGACAACTATTTATTAAAAAAAAAATAGAACATGTATATGTAATATAAACAATACAAATGGACAATTTATTATATGCATAACCAAATTTGTAAAAGAGTATTAAATGCTTGTGATCATGATTTTGAGTAATTTAACTCTTACACTTTTAATTAAATATTTATAATATCAAAATATCACTTGTGTTTATACATAGAAGACTTATTATTATTTTAACATTTTTTGATCATAAACAAGTGCAATATATGTCTACGCACATACATACACAAACACACACACACAAACACACATAGACATAGGGCTGTAAACAAGCGAGCTCAGACTTGGCTTGTGTTCGGCTCGTTCGAAATAACTCGTGTTTGAAATCAGCTTGTGAATAGTGTGTTCGTGTTCGACTCGATTTAAAAATTTGTGTTCGTGTTCGGCTCGAATTTGACTCGTTAAACTTAAATTGAGAAAAATAGTTGTAAAATGTGGGATTCGAAACTGGATCAAATATATACTTAAATTTAAACAAAAGAAGACACTAACCACATTGTCACATGAGGTGATATGATTTAAACTTATACATAAACATATATAATATATTATTATATAAATAATATATGTAATATATTGTTATATAAATAATTATATATATATTTCTTATTTCGAGCTAAAACGAGCCGAACACGAGCAAACAAAGCGCTGTTCGTGGTCAGCTCGTTTATAATTCGAGCTTTAAAAATTTTTTTGTGTTCGGCTCTTTCGTGCTGAATATGGGCTACTTAACGAGTCGAATATGAGCTGTTCGCGAACAACGAGCTTTTTTGACAGCCCTACATACACCCTGAAATAAAGAAGCACAGACACCAATCATATGAAAAATCAACAATTTCTCTAAGGACCTAGTTGCTTTGGCTAGTCACAACTAGGGCTATCAAAAAAGCTCGATCTTCACAAATAATTTGTGTTCGGTCCGCTAAGGATTTCGTGTTCTATTTGTACGATAAGCAAACAAGATGAACACGAATAAATTTTTTAGTACGGTTTATTAACGAACCGATTACAAACAAACTTGTGTTCGATCGTGTTTGAATCGTTATTGTTCGAATTATAAAATAATTTAAATTAATTATATATAAAAATTCTAATATATT